ATTTACAAAAATAATCTATCGGCCAAAAAAATTACAAAAATAGACCATGCCGCCCCAGAGGTGGGCGGCAAGCTGACGTGGTAGACGGCGGGTTGACCGCGCCGTCTGCCGCCGTCGGCCAAAATTGCATTTAGCCCCTTGCCGCCCCTACAAGGCTAAATGCAATTTTGGCAGCCCATAAAAAGCTCGGGGCTCGTACTTTTTTGCATTTGGGCCCCTTGCCGCCCCACTAGAGGGCGGCAAGGGACCCATATGCAAAAAGTACCCCCAAATGATTTTTCTATATTATGTTAATAATAATTAAAGAAGTATTTATTGGTAAAACTTGTTAATATTGTTATAAAAATGTATTGAAGTTGGTTGTTTCGCAATTTCATATGTTAAGTAAGGTATTATTTTGTAACTTATTTGACGTATTAGTACTCGGATAATTGATATAGGCCTATCGCAGTCTCGGTCGTAGAAACATTATATGGACTTAAACAAGGAGAATTATGTAACATGAAGAAATAGTAGTACAATTTGAACATGATACAACTATTTCCATTGCGGTTACATAGATGATATTAGATTCGAACTAGGAGGGAGGTAGTGCAATAGTTGAACACAACGACGATGTAGTAATGGGATAAGGAAGCATGACAGTAGAAATTTCAATATGCCAAGTTGTCCGATAATAGCTAACCCCTACGTGAGGATCCCTCTCCTCTCTCAAACCGCGCTTTAGTAACCCTGTATTGCTCTGATAGTTCAAGCTGCACAACACGGCTAGGTGGAGTTAGAACACTTCTGGTGTCTATCCATTCTCTATATTGACATCTCCTTGGTGGTTCCTGGGAGGAAAGAATAGATGTGAAGCGAGCAAAATTAGTAAATGTTGTGAGAAAATAAGGATTCATGTAATCAAAATATTCTTACCATGAAATCGTCATCAAGAATATTTGGACAAACAAAGAACCTTCGACCCAATGTTGTAGGCTTTATGGAACGAAGAACCTGACAACGATCACCACACCTGCATCTTGGACGGGCTTCCCATGGAGGTAGTGCCGTAGTTAGCACCCGCCAGTCGCACTATTGTTCACGACATTGTCATTCGTAAGCCGCTTTTCTCTATAAGTATTGCTCAGTACTTTCGGATGCGAAATACCAGCGACCTTCTTGTAAACAAGTGGTTAGGTCGAGAACGAGATTTTCTGTATCGACCCACTCGATGTATGCGCAAGCTGTAGTGCGGGTCTGCCGAATAGAGTAGTGTTACAAAGAATAAAACGATTGCCCATACGGAATGAATAAGCATATGCAGATAGTAAAATACCTCATGGTCATAGTTAGGACACCTAAAAAAGCGCCTTCCTCGAATATCAGGATTCCTCGAAGCCATTAGTTGGCATCGATCACCGCATAGGCAGAGAGGACGCTGGCACCAAGGTGGTAGTAGGTATACACAAGGATCTCTACGCCAGTTCGGATCCTCAACGCCCAGGCGTCTAGCCATTGACGAAAGCCGGTAGGATTTGTAATGAAGCAAGTGGGGAAGAGAGTACTGAATGTGATTGAGTTCTGAAAGATTGTGAGGCCTCGCTCGTTAAGGCGACTTATATAGGCACCAAAAATCGAGTGATATCCCTGACATGTGAACGTGGCGGGGCATATTGGGTACGCCTGATTGGCACCGAAAGTTACATGCCTGATTGGTGCCGAAAGTTACATTGGTCGTATGCGGAAAATGGCGGGCAAATACTCGTATCGCACGCGAATAAAGGAGGCTGCATCGGTGCGGCAGAAAGTAGTCGTACATGTGCCGAAAGGTATCGTGCACATATAATAACAATGTATTCATTACACAAGCATACAGTACTAGCATGTGAAGCAAATAAACAAAGAGAAGTCTGCTCTACTGGCCCTGCCCCGCGCCGCGACCACGCTTGGTCCTCCGGGCCTGTGCTCGCACGTGGTCTTGGGAGTAGGTGAAACGATCCGGTGGCACAGCACGGGTAGCACGAGTGTCTGGCGGCGGAGTGGCCTGCGCCTGGTCCTGCGTCTGCACCGGCGGTGCGCCTCCCAGCTGTGAGGGGCCGATGACGTCCTCTGTCGAGCCTGAAGCGAAGTCGAAGTCAGTGATGTCGAAGAGCAAGGTGGAAGCCACCAAGTGGTCCGACGAGGTCCCAGCATGGTCCAGTGGTGGACCCTGACTCGACGTGCCGGCTGCCTGTGACGAAGTCCCAGCGTACTACCAGAACTACGCTGAGTGCGAGGTCGACGCAGCTGCCTGAGACACTGACCCTGCAGCCTGGGAGAAGTGGGCGGCCTGCGTCGTAGCGAACTGGGCGAAACCTACACATCGACAACGGGACCCTTATAAGCTAAGACATAAAATGCATGTAAATTGATTGTCGAAGTACTGTTGTTTTTTTAAGTACCTGTGGGGGGCACAACATAAGGCCTAGCCGAGGAAGGCGGGGTGCTGAACGGTGCACGAAACCCTGAAGCAATCGGATGAATCGACTCACATAGATGCGCGAGACATGTACAAAAAAATCCTTAAAAATACTTACCTCCGTGCGGAAAACATGTATGCTTGGTAACAAATGACACTGTCCAATAATCCTTCCATTTTCCCTTATAAGCGTGCACTCTCCAAGGACAACCATCTTTTTCCTTAACACACCGAACTTCATATTGCGACCGGTTGGACTTGGCAACCCAAAACTCTCTATGAAGTGACACTGCAAAATGTTTTACCGCCTCCTTCATATTTTCTGCTCTAGTATAAATCGCTCCCTGAATAACCTCATTTTCTTTGTACTCCCATCTCACACTATCCTCTTCAAAGACGACCAAACCAGAAAAATCCTCACTAGCCCAATCTGCTGGATTAATATCCGTCTCATCATCTGACGAATCACCTTCCTCTACACGCTCGTTGTCAGAATCCTCCCTCTCCATTTCATCCACAATGGCACAGACAATCTCCCCCTCGTCGGCCACTCCACCTGGTTGAATGCCCACTGGAGCTACTACGCCCCCGTCCTCTCGTGCGTTGACCTCTTCCACAGAAGTCTCATTTACTTCAGCACTTGGTCCCTCACCATCATCCATGTTCATCTGCACACCTGGATCCTTCGGGTGAACAAACGGAACCATAGCTAGAGACCACCCGCGTTGCAATGCATTTTCCACATACCATCTCCACACTCGAGAGTTTTGAACTGGCATTAGTTCCCAATAAAAACCCTCAGTTACCTGACTTACTATAACATTGATTGTTATGTCACTTGTCTGTGGATCAACTCTCAAGCCCCTCATTAACCATCCTTTTATAGAAGGTACACTCCTCTCAGCCAGTCTATCAATTCCCCTTTTTGATACAATAAATTCTGACAGATCTACCACAGTTGGCCCGTAACGGACGTTTCCTAGGCCATGGTAAACTTGGAATATTTGTTTGTTCGACATATCTGTCAACAAAATAACTAGATCATATTACTCTTTCATGCAATAAACATCTACAACGTAATATCTTCTTGTGTATGCCAATGCAACGGTAAAGTACTGATTCCAAACTAGCAGATCTACGTAGTTACCGATATCTACAATACGCACTTCTAGATTAGTACAACTAAAACCCTAAAAATATAATGCATTTATTCAAACAAAGTTTTTAAAAAATACACAGTATTTAACTCAATAGTCACATATAGGATCTATGAATATTACCTGAAATCGGCGTCTGAATCCGGCAGGGCTTCGCCCCTTCTTCTCTTCTCCTCCCCTTTCTTCTTTTTTTACTGGATTTGTGGGGGGAGGAATGAGGGCTGGGGGCTGGGCGGCAGGCCTTTTATAGGCAGCGAGGCCTGCCGCCCGGCCAGAGGGCGGCAAGGGGCCGCCTGCAAAATGGCCGGCCCCGGCTGGCTTTTTTGCATTGGGGCCCCTTGCCGCCCCAACAGAGGGCGGCAAGGGTTTTCCTGCAAAAAAACCTCCCTCCGTCACCGCCCGTCCCTCCCCCGTTTGCCACGTCAGTTTGCCGCCCCGGAGGTGGGCGGCAGGGTCTATTTTTATAATTTTTTTGGCCGATAGTTTATTTCTGTAAATATTTTAAAAAAAACTAAAAATGAAAAAAAAATTGTTATTAAATTAGGCCTCTTGGGTAGACATTGATGAGAAAAGGGCGAAAAAAAATAACAGCACGATGGAATGGAATGGGGTGCAGACAAATCGATCTCTAAAAAAGAGCTGCAGAAATACGACTATGGGATTGGGTTTTCACTCACTTAAATGAATGAACCAGTAAGGCAAAAGAGTAAAAGAACTTGGGTTGAAAGCTAATACTCAATAATCTAGCAAGAATGCACCAAGCTGTCCAAGCACAAGTCCCAAAATCCAATCCATTCACATAGAGCCAAATCATGAAAATCGAGAGAGGGAAAAATGGAAAGCAAAGCTTAAAGTAAATCTCAAACAAAGTTCAAAGCCAATCCAAATCCTAATTTGTAACTAACTTTATACACATAATCAACTCAAACACTAACACAATTTTCTTTTGAAGAATCTAACATGAAAATTTTAAATCAAGAATCGGGAAAGATTCAACTTATTAAAAAGTGATAAATTTGAAGAAAATTAATACCACCTTATTTGAATATGTTACAAATTATGTAAATGTAAACCTTGATAGAACATCAAGACACTTGTCCCCTTCCTTTTCCTTCTGCCCTTGTTAATTGAATGTTGTCCATCTTATCAATAAATGAGGTATCGATCCAAATTGCGTATCGAGAAACAAAGTTATTTTAAAATTTAGGCATTTATATAAAAAGATGGAACCAGTGATACCTACAATTATGATGGTCGTTACTATATCATATCTTGTGCAATAAATAATAGGATTTTCTATACAAGTAAATAAATGCATTAAATATCTTGCATTGATTGCAGCATAATACATTTTAAACAACTAGTTGTACCTATGAACCTATAAATATAATGGTGTACACACTATGAAATACACCACTCAAGATTTCCACAATGAAAGGAAACAATATTTTCCGAGTGGCCCTTTTGTCATATATTATTCTCACTATCGGAGGAAAGGAGCTCAAATCCACAAATAGTGGAGAAAACACAGGTCTAACATTCACAAATCAACAAGTTAATAAGACTGTTCAGGTATGTGCAAGACTATTGATCTTTTTTGGAGGGTGTATTCTGCATCGTTTGATGTCTAACAAGCATAGGTAACATAAAATTAGACAGAAGATGGTGATATATACGATTGTGTTGACGTCAATCAACAGCCAACCTTTAAACACCCGCTGTTCAAAGACCATGAAATTCAGGTAAACCACTTTCTCAAAGCTATTATTTGCTTTCACATGGTGGCTAAATTTGATTTAGTTTAATTTCGTCCAAAAATTATATGTAGATTCTTTCAAATTCATGATTATATATAATAAATAGGTACTGCAAGTTGTAGCTAAAATCATGATAGCAAAATTCTTTAAATTGGTTTTTATTCACGACAAGCCATACTATTTGCTTCCCATTCGTTGCATATTATAAAACGTTTTGGGTTTGCCCAAGGTCAAATTTCTTCAAGCTTGAACATGTCTATAGGAAAAGTAGCAGCATCTACAACACACAATTAGTTTGATTAAATTCACCATTGAATATATTCTATAGTATATTTTGTTTTCTATTGAAAATATTACTATATTTTTATATAAAGTTGGTTAAACTTGAACAAATTTGACTTAGAACAAACCCAAAACAACTGACAACATGAAACGGAGGGAGTGCATTTTATTAATATTCATTATTTATCTACTACTTAAACTCTCATTTAACATTAAGAAATGAAATAATTAACTTATTTTTGTAACTATGCTATTATCAACTATACATGCGAAGACTTCATGGATGTCTTTTGTCAAGTCTATATTGAGAATGTTATTTGTGCATGTAAAAATCACCCTATCCCTTATTGCCCATGACGAGTCATTGACACCTGGGCCCAAAACCCGCATATCATTGAGAATAAGGGATACGGTCAACTTTCAAGAGCAAATAAGGATTTTATCCAATCATTTACTATACGGTGACACAGTTTTACATCTCAAATAGATGGAACCAAGCTCTTCCCCCATAAGGTTGGATATCAAATCGCCACTGGTAGCTGCAGTCTCACATGCACAGTTGTCTACCATCGACTGCCCCATAGGAACAATTCCAATTCTGCGTAACAACAAACTGGACACCACGATGGTGCAAGGTATCAGCACGTTGGCTAGCAATGATTTACAACAACTGGTAAGTTTCTTCTCATAAAATTTTAAAATTATATAATGATCAAAGTCTGATTACGATCATACTGAATTTGTGTGTAGTCCCATGAACACATGTTGCACACTACTATTTTCAAAACCACGATTGTGACTATTCATAACCTATTTATGGAATATGATCATTTTCAAATCAATCTTTGGATGTTAACATTAAAATTCTTAATGATAAACAATAAGATTAAATATATGTTGTGTCCATTGGTAGGACCAGTTATATAGAAAACTATAATTTCAAAGCTTTAGTGCTATTTTAAGTAACAAGTAGCTTGTAATCATTCTGAAACTTTGATACTGTTCCATAAACATGATATTTGCTCACATGAATATTATTTCAATGGCATTGAAAGGACTATAAAATCTTTTATTGTACCCAATTTTACAAGTACTTCTTGAGAAGGTCAAATGATGTTGGTTCAAGTTGACAACAATAAGGGATTGGAACTTCTATGTAACTAGATGGTGCCTCATGCTTTGCTTTGAAATATATGGATGATTGAATGTTGAGTATTGTTGAAATGATGGATGGATACATTTTGAAATATTATAGAAAATATGTGGGAGATGATGATTTGACATGCTAGTGTGTTGAGCTATAGAATGTAATAAGTTGTAGATGATGTGTCATGCTTGCATGAGCTTTAAATGTAACAGTTTATAGTGAATGATGATGTGGTATGGTTGCATGTTAAGCTTTAGAGCTAGTAGGCTCCAACTTAGAAGGTACTCCCTCTGTCCCAAAATATAAGGGAGCCTATCCAGATTCGTAGTACTCTACTAAAATGTGTTCCATCCAACCAAATTACCTTATATTTTCGGACGAAGTGAGTATAGATATGCCATCAAGTTAACTACAATAAGGGATTGACTTCTATGTAATATGTCATCATGTTGTAGCACTGAAACATGCATAAGTGGAAAATAATATCCAATGTGAGGATGGTATGTGGGCCTAGGACCCACATTGTCATCCTCACATTGGACATACCAATGATATTTTTCAACTCCATCATCTTATCTCTATAGTGCTTATGCTACTCTTTTCATTCACAACAAAATATCATTGGTTTTTTCATTGCAGGTAGCAGGAATCAAATATTGGGATGAGATATACGGATCACAGGCGTCAATAAATGTCTATGAACCAAAAGTGAAGCAAGATAGCAATGATCTTAGTGCATCATGGATACAAATTGGTAGTGTGCCAAAGGTAGGCAAAGGAGTTGGGATAGGTGCTGGGTCATGTGTTTATCCAAGCTTCAGTGGCGACAGCTTTGCTAGGTTCCATATTTCTTGGGTAAGGCATAAACAATTTTTTTTTACCATGTGCATAATTTTTTTTCAATAAGCATCTATAATGACCATATAAATTTTAAAATAGGGATATCATAGATATATTTGATATATTTCCTTATTGACTTTGCAATAAATTTTGATAACAGGATAATGAAGAATTGAAAAAAAATTGTATTGATCATAATTGTCCTGGTTTCGTGCAAGTTAGTCGCAGTGTTGGTCTTGGAGGAAGAGTACATCCTATCTCCGTCTATAATGGACCACAATATGTAATAGATGTTCTTATTTTTAAGGTATTGTTCTATTCTTAAAATATGTATGATTAGTTATATTGGTTCCATGTCTAGGCATGCAGTTTTTGTACAAGGTAAAGCTCCTAGATTTTTGTTTTCTTGCAAAACTAGTCAGTTCACTATAATATTAGTTGAACTATCTATGATAATTAAGTAATCATCTCATACTCAGATACTTTATATGCATGTAAGTAAATTTCTTAAAATGAATTTTTTTGTTACAATTCCATTAAAACAAGAGAAACTACATAAGGCTCACCCACATAAATAATTATATAATATTTGTGCACGATCAACATAAAAAATGTTTGGGCATGAAAAATATTTTTGAATTGTCTAGGTATGAAATATATAACTATAGTAAGTCGAGTAAGCATAACTGAAACCATTTTAGTTGCCTTCTGGAATCAATATGGCTACAATTGTCATACATCATGAAACTAGCCCAAACCAATTCAAACCAAGATGAACTAATTACATTTTTCCGAGTTTGATAACTCAAGACATATTAGTGTTCAATGCTCATTTTACTTCAAACTACGGAGTATTTACAATATATTTTTTATTTATATTAGGATCCAAAGACTAAGAATTGGTGGCTAGCATATGGTTCAAATAATACACCTATTGGATATTGGCCGAGTTCACAATTTTCATCCATGAAGGACAAATGTAATTTTGCATTTTGGGGTGGATATGTTCAAGGTCCAACAGCTTCTTCGGACCCACCACAAATTGGTAGTGGGCACTTCGCTTCTGAAGGATTTGGCAAAGCAGCTTTTGTTAGGAATATTCAAGCTATTGAAGATGAGAACAACAAGCTGGTTACCCCAAGCATCCGTAGTGCCCATCCTCGAGACGACAATCCAAAATTATACACCTATGATGACTATGGACTTAATGATGATAGTATGCATGTATACTACGGTGGACCGGGCAAATATAGCTAATGGTGTGCTTTGCAAACTGTAGTATCATAAGTTTTTTTATTGGAAATAATGAGATTCAAAGGCTACATATGTGGCATCATAACACCTTGCATGCACTTTGCTCCTATGATAGTTCGATGTAAATTGTGAAGAGAGATTAATTTTGCAAACAAGAATTGAACTAAATAACACACTTCATTCCCCAAGAGCCAGTTAGGGCCACGCCATCTGTAGCTTGCACATCGTCTAGTCTAACAAAGGTCATTATCCAAGCCTTTTTTATTCAACACCAAGCCCATTATCCAAAAAAATTCAACATCAAGCAGCCTTTGAACTATGAAGGTGTTCTCTCTGCACATAATTGCTATCCTATCCTACCTAAACTTCAGAGAAATAGGAATGAGAACGGGATTACACGAGGATTTTGGTCTCTCTCTCAAGCAAGGTCGACTCTCTCATCCTATGCATTCTAGTTGGGAGGGACCGGCCTAATAACTTTCGCCAGAACTTTTCGGTGCAGCTGCGCCTTACTCTCCTGGTAGCTTATGGGCCTTATAGGTCAAGCCCATGTATGGATATTTTTTTGTTTTTCTTCTTTCAATTCATTTTGAACAATTGGAAGTTACCTAAATACTGTATTGAAAGTTTTTGATATATTTTGAATTATTTCTATAATTTTCTACTCTTCTCTGAAATTCGAGAAATAATTTGTAACCAAGACTTGTTTAAATAGATTTATTTCAAATATTAAAAAAGTGAGTTAACTTTCAACTCAAATTTTGAAACTTCCAACTCGGATTTGAAATTTTCAATTCAAATTTTGAAACTTTTAGCTCCAAATTTTTAAAAATCTACCCAAAAAACACTAGCCAAAATTTGAAAATTTCAACTCAAATTGTGAAACTTTTTCATTCAAATTTTTGAAACTTTCAACTTACTTATAATATAAAACGGAGGGAGTACTTCAAAAGAATCAAGGTCGGATCTAGAGTGTAACCAGCGGGGCCCTTGGCCCCACTCAATTTAGGTGACTGGGGGCAAATGCCCCTTTGACACTTTTTACTTCCTTAGTCTACCTAAACGGTAAATCCTTAGCCCTCACTCATACTATTTTCTGTCTCCACCCCTAAAAAGAATCAAGTGACGGATGAACACGACGCATCCTCCTCATTGCTGGCCGCCTTGCACCCGCCGCCGCACACCATGCAGACGGCGACCACAGCAACGGCCACAGCCACCATCGCCCCAGCTATCTGGACGCCGCGGCCCCGCCCGGCGACGATGTGGTTCACCGTCATCCCTCTCATCTGAAGCTCTGGATGGATTGGGCTGTGCGACTGAATGTCTGAATCGTGTCGACTGGCTTTATATTTTGCAGCTACAGATTGCTTATGAGCTTAAACACTTTCTCGACCAGTCCTTAATTTCAAAAGTGTTCATTGCCCGTAAAAAACGAAGCCTTGTCGGCGTGGCCACTGCCTGAAATGCACCAAGAAGTAGCAATGCACACTCTTTTCGTCCTTTTCTAGATGGATTTTACCCGATCAAAAGATTGTAGCATTAGACACTCTTTCTCCTTTGGTATTTCTGATGGTTTGCTTACAAGATGATTACATAAATACCGACTCGAGCTTTTCAAATTTCAACACGTTGTAAACAAGAGCTCATGTCATCTTCCATTGCAATTACAGCCTCTAGTTTGGGCAATCTCTAGCATGTTTTGTCGACAAGGACAAAAAGGCCGAAGGAGGATAGTATCTTGATCATGAGCAAGCACTGCAGGTCCATTGTTACTGTCAGAAATGTGATACTGTATGTAAAGAAATATCATGAGTCCATTGCAGGAAGAACAGCATTACGGTATGTTCAGAAAAGAATAGTTAACTTACATATCCCCTTCATAAATCTGCACAAACTCTCTCAAACCTTTTTGTAGAATTCACAGCCTCTCGGAAGAGATTCAACTCTGAACCAATCCACTCTGAACCAATCAATGTAAGGACAGGAGACTATTATATGAAGCAATATATATACCTTTGTTTGCTCCCTAGTTCCATCTCGTGGGCCCAAACACGCAAGTAATTTGACGCGTGGATTAGTTACCCGATGGGCCTCTCCCTCCAGCGGCAGCCTATATGGGAGGCCTCCAGCTGCAGTGTGCACTCAGCTCAGCGCCTCACTTTTCTTGCTTGGTTCAGGTTCAGCCGTTCAGTGAGGCTTTATTTAGTTCCTGAAATTAGGAAGAAGTTTGAGGAAAGTTGGTAGTTTGGAAAAAAAAGTTGAAAGTTCATATGAGTAGAAAAGTTTTGAATGTGATATGATGTGATGGAAAGTTGAGAGTTTGGGGAAAGTTTGGTGTGAACTAAACAGGGCGAGTCGATGTCCGGTGAAGTTCAGTCCGATAGTCAGTCTGTGTATATATCTGTATCAATCTTTGCTAGTCCACAGGTTGTAACTGCACAGGGGGTGAGGGGGTTAAAACGAAAAAAAAGGAACCTAAGAAAAATCAAATCAAGAGTTGGAAAAGGTTCAATTTGTAAAAAGAAAAAAGGGACAATATGGAGAAAATTAATAGTACCTACTTTGAATATGTTAATTTTTTTTTCTAAATGTAAGTCTATAGACTTCAAGACAATTATCCCCTGCATTTTCCTTATGCCCCTATTAATTGAATGTTGTCAGTTTTACCAACAGAAGAGTGCTATCAAATTTATAAATAAATGAGGTATCGATTCTAAACGTGTGTCAGGAAATAAGGTTATTTTAAAATTTATACAATATAAAAAGAGATGGAACATGAAAGCAATGATACTTGTGCAATTACAAGACGGCCATTACTATATCATATCTGATGCAATTAATACCGGGATTTTCTATGTCATTAAATGCATTGTAATTTAATGTTTGTATATCTTGCATTAATCTTACTCCATATCTCTTAAATAGCACCAATGATACCTATGAACCTATAAATATAATGGTCTACGCAGTATGAAATAGACCACTCCAGAAATTCATAATAAAAGAAAATAATATTTTCCGATTGACCCTGTTGATATCTTGTTCTAAGTATAGGAGGAAAAGAGCTCAAATCCATAAGTTTTGCCATGAAATAGCTGCTCTCCAAAAGCTCACGACCTGACGATCTCGAGATAAACACCCGGATTTAGTTAATCAGATCACCCCAGGTATAATAGCATGCTATAATCCAGCTATAAGTATATTTTAAGTAAATAAAAGAGAAGAGAAAAAGAGCAGCAGACTACATATTTATAACCAGCTGTAGCACGGACTTCAAGACGCAGTGTGTGTATGACAAGTAGGACCAGGTATTAATAGTGTACTCCCTCCGATTTCATTTTAATTGACGCTTTGAACAATGACACGCTCTACAAGATATACCTTTGACCTTATTTTTCTATTATAATATATACAATAAATAAATGCATATTTACTTTTATTATAGTGTTTTGAAAGACAAATCTATATATGTTTTTCTAGTTTCTTTAAACTAAATATTTTTAAAGTTATTGATGGTCAAAGTTATAAAAGTTTAACCTCAATCTTGTCCAAAACGTCAATTAATATAGAACTAGAGGGAGTAGTATGTAACTATTGTACGAATTAGCTATTAAATTAACTATAGATGATTTAAAGCTAGTAGTTGGCTATACTATTAAACTTGCTCTAAGAGCACCCGCAATGGTAAAGTAAGGTGCTCTCTATAAAACATGTACATCTCAGCAATATACTAGATTAATAGTAAACCACCTCAATATTATGTCTACATGGGTATCTATAGCTCTCTAATGCATTGCATCGTTTTTCTCTATAGACTATCTCCAGGTTAGTAGATAGCTTTACTCTCTCTTCATTTAATCTCTTCCAAGTAGGAAAATATACTGGCATGGATCTCTTATAGAAAGCATATAAATAACCATTGCGGGTGCCCTAATCATCCTCCACCATTGCCAATTAATCCTCTCCCGGTGATTGCTTTGTCGGTGACAGCGTGTGTGAAAGCTCGCGCGGGCGCGGCTACGGCAACGGCGAAGGCGTGGTGCGTTGAGATTCGTGCAGAGGACGGCGCCGGGTGCCTCGAGATGCTCGTCGCGGAGAAAGAAAACCGCGGAGTACGCTGCAGCGATGGTGTCGTTAAAACTGAAGGAAATGCTGCCGCGCGCGTGCTGTGCTCTGCTCGAGTTACAGTGTACACTGGTGAGCTTAGCTAGGGAATATGATTGATTAATCCATTTGATTACCCTATCATGTCGGCCAGCTGAAAGAGAAAAAAAAAGCTAACTAAATTTATGATAAGGTTCATCAATTAGTGAAATCATATTTCAATTAGTGGTTTCAGTTGATACTAATACTGTACAATGCCATTCTGAGATAGTAGTACTGTGATCCAAGTAGACTGCATGCTCCAGTGGTCCGGGCCGGCCTGCATACTCATCGATAATCAGCGAGCCATATTTTGGCACCCGTACTAGTTTACCACTCATGGCCGTGTCACAGCATACAGGCCACTTGTTTGTATTTATAGGACTTTTGTCCCCGGTTGGCGACGACGGTTTGTACGTACGCAAGCATGGGCCGGCAGCTGTCTGTGAAAGAAAAAATTTAGTGCTCCCTAATTTTAAACGCAGTCACGAGATTCTTTTCTAGTCTTATTAAAAAAATATAATATATAAAATATAAGTTATATATAAAGTATTATTTATATTTATCATCTAATAACAACAAAAATACTAATCATTAAAAATTTAAATAAAATCAGTAATTAAAATTGGACATGAAAACTTATGGCTTCGTTTGAAATGTGCCGGAGTGAGTACTCTTTAATCTAGGGGAAGTACTTTTACTACCCTACTGTAAGGTGGTCAGAGAACACAGCTGCGGTTGCCCGTACGATTAAGAGCTCCGCCCGTCAGATTGCTGCTGGAAAATGGAAATCTGCTTCGCTGTGCCATGTGCGGCCTTTTTACTCTCCGTTTTTACTTACTGCAGGATGTAGGAGTACATCAGTACCAGTACTACATGTAATGTATACTCCCTCCGTCAAAAAAAAAAAAAAAAAAAAAAAAAAAAAAAGACAAACCC